TCTGTTAATGTTATCATTCTTTTTATTGATTTTTTTATTGATTTGCCATGACGTCCAAAGAATTTTTAATAATAATAAGGATTATAGTTAATATTTAATATTGTCTGGTTGACAAAGCACTCACGAACAGTGAACGAGCGTATACAAGGCACTACAGTAGTACAGTAGTACAGCATCTACCCGTAAACATTTCCAATGCCAATAGAACGTATACGCGTTCTATTTATTTTAATAAATGTAAATGTTTACCCAATATATGCCTGTATATGGAGCATTTATATATTATATATATTTATATTCATTTATATTTTAAAATATGTGTTTGTATCAATGAGCATATTTGTGCTTGTTTATATATTTTATTTATTGCAAGTTAAAACAACGGATGAAGGTTTTTGCGGAAAAATTTAAATGTACGTACATTTTGTTTCCAGTAATTTTACTAATATTGAAACAATTTATATATATATATGTATGTGTGTGTATGTATATATATATATATTAATTTTAAAAATTATATTTATGTATACTTTATGATTTTTAGTCTTCTTTCGCATATGATGTGCCAATACAACATGCATTATTTCGATTTATGATTTTTTAGATTTTTCAGATTATAATGGGCCAATAAAAATTGCATATGTATATATAATATATATGTATATAAAATATAAATATCAATTTATTATATATATATATATATATATATTTATACTGTGTATAGTTTTTTTAGAAATATCTCTGCATCTCATCGTTATTGAGTCGGTAATCCAAATTATTTTTTATTTTTTGTTTCTTATTAAACTTGAGGCTGAAATGCACTGATGTTATCATTATTATTAATGCATTTATCCGTATTCAACCTGTTGTATCGATGTGCCTGAACCGTGCATAATTTTTAAGATATCTCTACTATTTTTACTTTTTTTTTGCATCATCTTTCCTTCAATCTTTAATTTTTAAGATATCCATTCTAATTTTATTTTTTTAAAATCATCATTCCTTCAATCTTTAATTTTTAAGATATCCCTTCTAATTTAACTTTTTTTGAATCATGATTCCTTCAGTTTTCGATGCTGTTAAGTTTACAAAAAACGTTACAAAAATTTCAGTGTTTTCTTAACTGTTGCGGTAATTCTTACTCGAAACTAAATTATATCAGCGGCACCAGCTGAAATATTTCCGTAAAGTCATTGGTTATTTCTAAATTTATAACTGGATGGATTTTAAATACTATAACTGCTGCAGTATCGTTTTACGTTTATCAGTGTCATATAGATTCCGTGTACTAGTCATTTTAATCAAAAATTGCATCGGCAAAGTCCATCAATATCATCGCAGTCACTTTTTAAGGAGAATGAGTCTTGCTATTAAGACCAGATTAATCGTGCACGACATTAGGCCAATATATTAGAATCAATCGTGCATGACATTAGGCCTAGAATTTGATTTATGGTCTGCAATTAATACAAACGGTTTGGATGGTTTTTTAGGCTGGTTTACTGATATACTCTAGTCAAATCTGTTGAAAACTTATAAAAATTTACTGTAGGCCTCATAAGTCGTTGGATCATAACCAACATTGTCAGCTCAAAACGGTGACTAAGTATTATCAGCGTATTTAGCCACAAAATTCATTAAATACAAAATATCAAACCAAAATAAATCACACTGGCATTCTTCCCAAATGATATTCTGGAAGAATATTTTCAGAAACATACATAAATTCTGAAGTTTGACTGGCACGAGAAGGAAGTACTTCAAAACTGTTGACTAATGAAAATGATACACGAAACATTCTGCAAAAAAACTACGATGAGCTGATGATGCCGTCACGGAGAACTCTAACAATGTTAAACATTTCACTGTTACTTGATTACTGTAGCTAATGTTTTTTCAAAATTATGATACTCGTTTTATTTCAGTTAATTTGCAATAAGCAAAATTGAGACTCTGGAAGTGTGCTTTTAATAAATATAATTGTTATTAGTATCATTAATTTGCTCGTTCGAACGCTAGATGTAAAAGTATATATCAAACAACTGATCATATCTTAAAGTGTTTAAGTACATCATAAAAAATAATATTAACAGTGTTGAAAGGTGTTTTTCGTTTAAAAGCAATGTTTAGTCAAATTAATTTAACCATAATCAACGTAGAAAAAATGTATTTGAACATATAAAGACAATTTAAATAAGTACGGTACACGAATGTGAAGCTTCAATATCATTTTTAACCACTAAATGTTCAGGAGATGTAAAAATTAGAATGATACAGTGATTTGATGAAATGTGGAAATGGTTTTACATTTAAATACAAACTCATAAACAATTTCTCATAAATAAATACCAATATTAAAAGGGAACATATTAATAAAGTGATTAACACAAACAAAAATATACGGCTACAAAACTGCCAACCGGTTTATTGGCAAGCAAAAACATAATTGCCTATGCGAATAATTTATGATGAGAAAGATAACAAACAAATAATGTGAATAATGTGAAAAATAAATGTTCAAAAAGTAGTTGACTGTTTGCAAACAGTAACAAAGAAATATACATGATGAAACGTAGACATCCATGCAGACACCCATCCAGACATGATACTGTTTAAGATATGACTTGGCATTTAATATCACCGTTGATGATACAATACGCTAGAAAAAAAATAAATCCAAGAAAAACATAAAATATCTTCGAAAAAATGGATTTTTATATCTAAGATGACGCCGACAAATTAAAATTAGCGACTATTCGAGATCTTTTAGCAGAGCCGTCAGACAATTTAGTGACGGATGAACTGCCTTTGTTGAAACTCTGGGGTGTGAAGCAGCCAGCATGTGGTGATTGGTTGACATGTTGTGAAATGCCGTTGTTGCCGTGTTGTGAGATGTTGTTGCTATGTTGTGGTGTGTTACTGCTTTCACGTGGTATGTTGCAGTGACGAGTTGGAGTGTTGTAATGTTGTTTTGGAGTGTTCTGTTGATCAGAAGTTTTGTTATTACGTTGTGCAGTGTTGCTGAAGTGTGGAACGAGATCGTTACGTTGTGGAGAACAACAGTTTTGTGAAGCGTTGTTGTGAGGTAGCAAAATAATATCACTTTGAAATATGGCGTCAACAGCAGCATGCTGGCGTTCAATTTCGCTAGATTCCACGGTACTGCAGTGTTGTGTGATGTTCGATCCACGTAATGTAATATCATGACGATGAGTGTTGCATTCTAGTTGAAGTGGCAAAACTTCATCTTTTCTGAGTAAGGCTTCATTGACGAATTGTCGATTTTTACTGTCGATTTGAGAAAGTTTGTCGACACGTTGCAGGCTATTCGCTGTTTTATCAACAGTTAGTTGAGAGGCGCTGCTACATGATTGATTGTGGAGGACAGGCTGCGGTAGACTGTTCTGCAGATGAGTGCAGCTGGCTCGAGACAGATCACCAGCAGCTATCAACTTAATGTTAGGAGTCGATTGTTTGTCGTTTGGTAAAAATCGAAAACATTGTTCGTTGGTATTATCATTCAATAAGGATTTTATGGCTGGAGGTGTGTGTAGATGTTGATTTTCGTCTTCTGAATGTTGCGCACTTGTTTTCTCCATTGAGAAAAGATTTATGCTGTCAATCAAGCTAAAACGCCTGTTTACATTTCTAGTCAACCCGAATTTGTTGTTGAGATGGTCATTCAAGAATGAGTCATCGAGACAGAAGTTATTATGACTTACAATTCTATTGAAGAGCGGTTGGTAGCGGAAATCAACATTAGAATTTAATGGAGTGGGATCAGAAAATCCTGCAAAATGATGTGACTTTATGGGCCACCGACAAGAAATTTGTGCCTCAGTAGAATTATCTGCATTTCCTTTACAGCCGGGAAGGTTGTTAAATTTCGAATAAAAATTAACTGTTTGTGAACGTGGAAAGTTCCATTTTTGAGCGGTCGACAAGTCATTTCCATCGAGTTTGAAATCTTTATTCTTAAAAATATTTTCAACTTTATCAAATTTTGTTGTACTTCTTTCCTCAAGACCCGACTGTCTGAAGACATCAGAGGGCAGGAGTTGTGCTGCAAATGCAAGAAGTTCAGAAACAGGAGTTCGACAGAGTGGAGTTTTAAGACCTTTTTTTTCATCTTGTGTCAGTGTCAACAAATCTATAAATTCAATTCAAATAATAATTCTTTTAATATAAGCAAATGAAATATTTTTTAAACAAGGTAGTGTCCAATGATTGAAATGATATGTGATGTAATGTAACCGTAGTGTAATTTAATGATATGTCATTTTTAAACTGAAGTAAAAAAAAGTGTAATAGTTAGCTCGAATGGAACTGCTGAATGAATGAATGAGAAGTAAATGAAATATTTAATAGCAGTTTTTACATGCAATAATTACCTTCTGGAAAACATAACCTTTCAAAAACCAAGCCTTTAAAATATAATTTCAGAACCAACCAACAATTGTATGCGTCTTTCAGTGACTATTTAAAAGCATTGTTCAAAAATTACAAAGGCTGCCATTAAACTTAAACCCAATCTAATTAAACAATTAAACAAACACACCAAGTTTGAAATGATTTGTTACACCAAGATAAAAAATATAAGCTGACGAAAACACACCTTGCATAGATTTTTTAGATTCTAATTTCATGAACGACTGTGTATTGTATTGCGGTTCTAAGATGGGTGATGGGATGCAAGAAGGCACTGGACCAGACAGCAAGTCCTTGAAGTCGTTGATGAAAATGTTTCTGTTGTTGACATTGGTGACTGTGTTGTTCAAATCCTTCCTAATTATGCCCTTGTTCATGGTGGCACTTATGTCACTGTTGTTGTGCACCTTGCTGCCATTAAAGCTTTCTACACATGAGTTGGAACTGGCTCTGGCATCTACAACAAAAGAGTGGCGTGCAGTATCGTCAAGATTGTCATTTGGTTTTGTATTAAGAGCACTGTTGCTTTTGTCCAAATGCTCTGAAAAATATATATTCATACATTCAGTTGTTCTAATGAACAGTGTTAATTTAATTATTGAAATACTTTTTTTTACAAAACCGGACGTTAATTAATTAATGAAGCACTGACTCCTGAAATGTGGTCTGAGACAGACATTCCAGTTTGAAAGTCGACCGTCAAAAGTGACGACATGAGAGATGGAGCGGATCAACGAGGCCAAACTCTGCTGTCCATAGGAAGCGGGAATCAAAGAAACTCTAAATTTTAAATCATAACAGATTAATTGATAAAAAAATTTAACCAACAACAAATTATGAGTTTCATGTTTTATTTGCATAATCATAACATGAAGTTAGTATAACCATAACAGAGTTAGGCAGGCATACTTGAAGAAGTTCCTATATTCGTCCTCCAATTGAGACATGGGTGTCTGCTGTTCTGGGATGTTCAGCAGCATCAGACGTATGTCTCTGGCAAACATCTGGGCCGGAGTCAACTTTACAAGTGTCTCAAATGGTGGTGACGGAGATGATGACGAACGTAATGTGGGCCCCTGATATAATATCCCATTAAAAAATTGTAAAATTTTATAAAAAAAGATTGATGTTATCTTGAAACGCGTTAAATAATAATAATAATGGAAATATTACTGCAAAAGTGAAAACCTTGGAGATGGTCACGTAATCTGCCATGTGCCTGGCCAGGTACTCAATGGTCAGCTCCTCATTCCTCCCACCACGCTTGTAATGAAAATTATACAAGGCTTGTAAATGGTCAAAGGCCACACTTCCATCAGAGAACTCCATGATAAGGAGGAGAACATTCAAGCACTTGCTGTCCACATCATCAGCATCACCAAGTGCCGACTTGTCAGATCTCTTCTTGCTATTTATTGGAAGAGCGTGCTGGAGTTTTGATGTAATGGCCGACTTTCTATGCAAATATTTTTTGCTTGTTAACAGATTCTGATTGCCTCTTCTTTCGATCTGCCCATTTGTTAAATTCATATCTATCAATACCAACACAAAAGCACTAAAAATAATTCAAATTTTAGTTGCCTAATCATGGGCTTAACATTAAGAATAGAATTGAACAAATACGTGATGAAAGCATAAATGAAGCAGACACCAACCAAAATGTTGCCAGACATCTTAGAGACAAGTGCAGAGATGCTGTGAACTCCGAAGGCAGACAACTTGAGCGGACGTTGAAAGATGTCGCTGTATGCACTCAAAAAATCATTGAAGGTAAGTGCAAATCTGCCACTTCTGTTGAGCACATCCTCGATTACCCTGTCAAACTCTTCCTCCGCCACTTGAATCATTTGGCAGTTTGAAAGGCTTATATATTTTGCACCGTTACTTTCAACTATCTAAAATAAATATTTAAACATTTCTTTCTATAAATATTGTTTATATCAAAGAAACAACAAAAAGTAACTGCTGTGAAATTAAGCCAAAAAATACCTTGAAGTATTCGGGCAGTGCTTCAAATATTTCGAGCAAATTCATTCCAGTGTTTGTGACATCGAGTTTGTACTTGTACTTCTTTTCAAAAGCACTTTCCAGTTCAAAAGTTGAAAGTTGATAATTTTCAGAGACACTCAGCAGGTCCGAGTACCTCTTAATGAAAACTTTTATAGATGGCGAATCCTCTTCAAGTTTTTCTTATGGATATATATTAGTATTTGTTAATAATGTTCTGAACAAAGTAAGATGGGAACAGGAGATATAAAGACATAAGCTATATTATAAAATTCAATAAAATTTTCTTTAGTCGGTTGCTTGCTCTGACGCTTGCTAGGAAAACGAAACGATTTTAGAACTATAATAATTTACATACATCAACATAAAGGTATTGCATTTTCCAGAACTGTATTTCCTATCAATGATGATGAAGAAATAAATAGAAAAGTTATCTAAAATGCAATGGTAGAGACAGTGTGTTAAATGAAAAATTTCTCATTCAGACTCACCTTTTCTCGGCATGGATAAAATAATACCCTGTTCATTTCTTATTATCTGTAACAATTGCAGATATTGATATTTCACTATGACCATCACACTACCGACACTAATGATTCTTAAAATCCTTATCACCAACAACAAAATAAACTTTTGATAGCATCATCACCACCACCATCATTTTCACATCATCATCATCATCCTCATCATCAGTAACAACCATGATGAGTGCGTCCGGTAACTCAATGAGTAGATCCTCCACATAGCAGACACCATACTCTGTTATGTTCAAGGAACGATCCAAGACTTTAGCTGAATGAGACGAAAAAGATTTCATCAACATTATTCACCTATCCCAAATTTTTCATTATATTCTTTATTGTAAATATCAATAAAATATCATGTCAGATACTTATCGAGCAAGCCTTGGCTATTATAAAACGTTTACCAATAAAGATTTGCGTTTATAAAAAAAAGCGTGTTGTATATATTTATTATATTTATTTAACATTTGGCGAGGAAAATTGAAAAATTAACAAGAATAAAACTAACTCAATAAAGCAACTAAAAAGTTAGAGTCAAATGAAAAATGTTGACAGTTGATTCAAACACAAAATGAACTAACAATATGCATCTGAAAGTTCTTCCACATTTAAAGATTTGGTTGGCTGACATTTCAAAATCCTCAGCAATGTCGATGAAAATCTCTTAACCTGTGCTCTGTGGGTCAGTGTCAAACAGCTGCTGGGACCCGATCCAAGAATCTAGTGGTCAAATGAGAGCAGCAATATTTTTAAATGTCACTCTGCAACTTTCAGAACATTGGCAAGGCAAATGCATTTTAAGAAAAATTTTAACTGCAACACACGGAAATGACTGACTCACAAAATTACTTGGTTAATGATAATACTAGAGAGTTACAATATAAAGAAGAAAAATGTACAGAAGAAAAATATGTTACCTGAATAACATGAGACAGTGACTGAACCAATTCATAAATATCAGCACATCCAAAATCTGAGCACCTGAACTGTCTGCCGAAGTAACGTTGGTAGCATGCACTGAATGAATTCAACTGCACAACACAATCAGGTTGACTTTTGATTAGTTCAGTGAGTTCATGGCCCACTTGTGTCAGAGGCTCGTCCAACTGAGGGCTCAGCCAAGCAGTGTTCACTGTGATTTTATAGGTACTCGATCGTGAAAGAAAACTATTCATACAATTGAAAATTTATTTAAGTGGCCTGATATAAATTTAATAAACTGACAATTCTGAGAAAAGTTAAATTTAAAGAAGATTCCAAAACACTCAAAAATTGCAAAGTGCCATCACCAAACAAATAACAGCAAAGAAAAATAGATGAAAAATGACATCGCAACACAAACGACCTCCATCAATGGGAGATGTGGACCTCTTCTCAGCCCACTGTATCTTCTTCACCCCAGTTGTCATGACGACGGTGACTTCTACTCCTTGCACACACGTAATCAAATGCTCCAGGGACACACCTTCTCCCGACACCTCCAGGCTCAGAGGCGAGAATTCACGAGCATAACAAGCTGGAAAACTATTGGGAAGATATAATACTTACAAATTTTTAACCAAAACATCCACCTAGCTCATTTTTCTTCAACTTGATTATATCCTTTATATTTAAACAACTTTATTCAAACATTCAAAGAGCTAGCTAAGCAAGAGTTTTGAAAACATGTGTAACAGTTTCTGCATTTGTCAGATTATGAATCTCTGGACGCAAAACAAAGATTGATTGATTGATGAAAAAAAAATTATTTGTATGATCAACCATATTACAATGAATGAATAAATGCTTACGTAACTGCTAATGCACAACACACAAACAAAACATGAAAGCATACATCTAGGTTTATTACTATAAGCATATATACACTGCTAATTACAAACAAGAGATTGCCAAATGTATGAGCATATATATATATACCTGTTCAGAGGCATACTTCCCTCATGGCATTGAAGCAACTTGTGCAGCTGAGAGGAGAAACTACGAAGAAGAAGTTTGACCTTGGGATCAAGGCTCATGTCGATATGAATCCAGGCTAATCTGTCTGTATGTTCGCAACATTTTCTTTGGCAATATACTGGCAAGGTCGTTGCGGCTAGTAATGCAGACTCTTGACGATTGATTCCATTCTGGAATGTCATAAAAAATTTTTTAGTTTTTTTATAGTTCGCAAATTTCCACCTGATTATTTCAAAATCGTAGTTGCCTACAGTTATTTTGATGCATGTACTACAATTGAAGGTGATTCGGTAATAAATAATTAAAACAAGTATTAAAATCAATCAACCCACAAAGCCTGAACATCTTTATAAGCTAGCAACAAGGTATCAATAGAATGTTTGACAACAAAGGAAATATATCAGTTAGAACCTCCAATTCGTTACACGAGCCACCAACATCGGCACAAGCAGGTGTAGAAACATAATTGTGATTATGAGCATCTTTGTTGTGGGCGTTATTATGGTTGCAGTGGCTGCTGTTGCTACATGCGTCTGCTGATGCTTTCAACAAGACGACCTTGCCTAAGCCTTCCTGATCAGTAATCCTCACATAATCTCGCAAGTTCTGCAGATCAAGTATGCTAATGTTCTTCTGGTATCTGAATAACAAAAATTGAGTCTTAACAAGCTCGCATTTCAACATTAATTGATTCATTGTTATACTTCCCAAACATGTTATTAGAATAGAAATTATTGAACGCTTCAGCACACAGACAGACGTGCAGTGCTAACCTTTTCTCAAAAAGTTCAAAGAATTGGAAGAGTGGCAGTCGTTTGCCAGGAATGGAACTTAGTAGACTTACAATATCAGACCTGAACAATAGAAAATACAAATTTATGACAAGTTTTGTAAAAAGCAACCAGAAAATAGTGAAACAATACAATCTCAAAAATAGTTTTACTTGATGGTATTTTGTGGAGATGTTACAGCAGTTGATTCAGAATTCAAGATAGCCACATGAATCCTCTTGTATCCAATCTTCTTTCTGTGAAACTGTGAGACTATGTATCTTGCGTCTTCGAGAGAGGCAACATTCACAGTGGCAATACTCGTGTTGTTCGCCTGCATCTGAACTGCCAGAGAATTCACCTGAAACAAAGTTTTAATATTGAAGATGTTTGCTTAATCAATCACAAAATTGTGAAAATATTCATTACTTCTTTATTATAAATTTTAAAGATTTCATACTAAAACAGTTTTTTTTTAAATTTCAAACATTCCTTGCATATTTGAAGATAAAAATTAAAAAGATGATGAAAAAGTGATAAGCTGATATTATTGAAATAACCTGCCTATCTAACCTGCACATTCTGAAATTCCGAACTTAAAATCTTCTTCCATTCATGTGTGCTGATGTTGTAATCCAGATTAGATACCACAAGATTGATTCCAGCTGAACTGCTTGCACCCTTCTTGATTCCTCCTACAGCAACATTGTTGCTGTGATAGCACTCCTTCGAGCCAGTGCAAATAAGGTTGCTGCTACTGATCGACTTGGAATTCTTATCACCATTTCTCATTGGGGATCTCTCTGTGAAGACAGTTGAATAGTCTTTACCTTTTTTAAATTTTATTCCAGCCACATCACCAGCATTTGAACTCAATCTGGAGAATAATGGCTGAGGTTTCAAATGACCCAGTTTTTCAATAGTATTGTTGCCATTCAAACCGAGATACTGCTGCTGTTGCAATGCAGGTCGACGAGCTCCTGGAGTTCTCCGGAATGCAGCACTGTTTCCATTTCCGGCACTATAAAACGAGCGAGGAGATAAATTGTGGTGACTGAAATGATGGTGGAAATGAGCCAATGATACTACGGCAGTAGATGAAGTAGTTTGAGATGAGGTCACCGCCTGTCTGTAGGGTTTTGTGTTACACGTGGTTGAGTTGGATTCCGCAGAACCGGATGGGTAACCAGAATCATCCATATTTAAATTTCTTGGCGAATTCACTTTACTATTTTGTGTAATGTTGTTGTTGTTGCTAACCTTGTTTTTATAATTTTGTTGTTGGTTAACTTTCTCACTGAATGCAGTGTCGGGGGCAGTGCTGTTGGTGTCAGCTGTGTGTTGTTTTAAGCTGTTGTTCAGTGACAAAACTTGGGCCACAACAAATTTGTTTGCTGCAGAATTTGAAATGACATCTTTAATATTATTGATGTGAGAAATAGTATTTTTCCCATTTTCATTCTCATGAACAAGATCTAACGAGCTTTGATGGGGGTATGTTTTCTTTACATTGTCTCCTAAATAAAAAAAAGTAAAAGTTAACAGAAATAAACGCAAACATACAAACAACAATTGTTGGTATGCGATGAAATACTAAAAAAATAATTCAAAATCTAGATACCATCATCCCCACCGAAATCAACGTCTTTTGTTAAACTTGTTAACCCAAAATTCCAAAATGGGGAATCCCTAATGGACTTTGGAAGCACTTTATTTTGTAAGTACTCTAACTGAAGTTGCAAATTCTTTTTGAAATTGGCAACAACTTTTGGATTGTAGTAATGATTTTCTATCTCAGCATTACAGAAGGCACTACCATTAATTAATGTGCTTCCACTTAGTAATGATTGCTCAAACATATTCAGGAGCAACTTGTTCTTGTCCACTCCAACCAGTAGATGGATTTTTATTCTTCTTCCATGCAAGCATTCATTATAAAACCTTACTTTTGATCTGAAAATTCAAGAAAAAGTTCGGCATAAAAATAATTCTTACTGTTATAATGGGAATGCATGTCACTCTCTTCACAACATAAGTTCAGTTGATATAATAATTGTAATCTTTTACAAAATTACTCTTAAAAATATTAAATTAATGCTATAAAATAAAATTTCAAAATAGGTTCGTACAACTCAATTTTTAAACTAAAAATTATTCAACTTTGAGAAAATAAAAAAGCTTAGTCACGTATGTACATAACATGGAACCTAACATATGAAACAGACAATCCTTAATACATGTTGTAAGCATGGTTTAAAAAAAAAATTTTCATACTGTTTATAAATTGTTGAAATATTTTCAGCACATGAGTTAAAAAGTTGATCAACTTAGAAATAAAATGTTGCTGAAACATTTTTGAATAAAAGTTTACATTGGCAATGAAATTATTTGGTAGATTAATTCTTATTGTAAAAATGTATGTTCTATACAATGTACAACACTTATTTAACAAGATTAAATCATTATAAAGCTATAAACTTGAAATTGAAGTTTTATACGATTATGGAATATAAAAATTACAATAACAAAAATAATTATGAATAAAACAACAACAAAAAATAATAATAATGACAATATGAAATAATTGGAGAGGAGTTCAGACCTGAAAGCAGCTTCCCAGGAGGGGAAGCACACCAGAGCAGTTTTGTTGATGATGTACATCACTTTTCCTTTGCCATTTTTGAACATTTGCTCAATGTCTCGACTCAAGTTTTGGTAGTTTACATCGAGTGGCAAGTTGTCAACAAGGATCAACGTCTTGAAGTGTCGTGTAAGTTTACATTATTTTAATGTTTGCAAGAACACATTAATTAATTCATTAATCAGCAAACTAATGTTTATTACTTACAACAAAATCAATGTTAATTAAATAATAAATATAGAAATTAATCCGCAAAATAATGTTCTATTACATCACAACAAAATCAATGTTAAATAAATAATGAGTAATTTAAAAATTTGGTGATAACAACATAATAAAACCGTGAAAATTCTCGCACCTCAGACACAGGAGGCATGACAAAATTTTCAAAGTCAACATAGAATGCAGTCATGAGGTAGTGTTCGTGTGGAATGGTAGTCAGCGCTTTTGAAGGCATTTCATTGTGTATCACAATGGTCTCAAACTTGTGTATGTACCTGAGGTCGCTTATTTCAGGCGAGAAGTTTACATCACCTTTAATAATTTAATCAAATTATGAACATGAAATTAATTTTTTAACATGAATAACTGTTTACATTTTCAGACAATTTACATCTTTACAATTAACTTGAGCATACTCGATATAAGAATTACTGTGCTGGGTGATGAATGAAATGCGGCAAACTTCCTCATTGAATGTTTTAATTTGTCGTCTGCAGAATTCTTGCTCAGTGCACAGACATGCACCACTGTCACCTGCACATGTACATGGTTAGATTTTTTTTAACTCATCTATTATTATTCTCACACCAAGTTCCTTGATTTTATGATTTTTTTAAAGTGAAAAATATAAAAAAGTCTACCCAAGAAGATAAACAAAATGTCCAAAATATTGATTAAATTAAACAGACAGATAAGCAATTGAAAATAAATTTGAATATTCCTATCTTTGTGTAGATTATGACATTATGGATATTTCAAAGCTTATGATTTATTAATTGCTGTAACCAGCATTCTAGTGTAAGTGAACTTGTTAGTTGAATTAATTCATCATACTTAGACAAACATTACCACAATTAGTAAATTTTCAACTGCAGATTTATACTGCACACAAATGCAATATACAACAATATTCTATTTAAGTAAAGTACCAACACTGTATAACTATAAGTGTATAGATAGTTTATGATAAGTTTATTATTATTATTATTTATTATTAATAATTTATTTTTTTATTATATTATTTTTATTACTATTTATGAAACTTTTTATTTATTCATTAAGTAAGAAGATTAACAAAAAAGAATAAAAAGTCAAGCCTGTGCATAATTCAGTTCCATCAGGACATATTTGTTTTGCTTCTCAGTGTCGCATACCGCAATGAACTCGGCCTCAACGTGCTCGTTGAAAAACCTGTTTCTTATTTCATTGACAAATAATAGGGAGGAATAGTTGCTTGGCACTGGACAGTTCTCGATATCCCAAAACACACCGATTGGCGAAAATTTGCTATTATTAACATATACAGCCATTTTACTAGCAGGATCTATATTCTATATAATTTTCAAGGCTAAAAATTAATTTTATATTAAATTAAATTATAGTATGATTGTTTACGAAGCGCACCGTTGAGTAGAGCATTCATCTTAGTTCAAGTTTATTCCGTTTGGCACTTCTTTACCACACTATGAACGCATAAATATCAGTATATATACTATTTCACACTATATAGTTTATACTTAGATATTTTATAACCTAATCTGATAGAATTTAAATTTAAAAGGTAACGTAGTTAAAATAAAGATGCGCAGTATAAATATAGGTGTTCAACTCACATACTAAGGACTAAGTTCAACCGTGGTTCAACCACATAGTTTTGGATTATTAAATGCGCTATATAAGCATTCAAAATTGTTGAACCTGGAATAAAAAAATGGAATTTGTACCTAATCAATAAAACTCAGACGTCGATCGGAAAGCATTTGCGTCATTTTTAGCTGTCATGGATCCATATACTTAAAAAATAATTATAAATAATTATTAAATTATTATCCATAATCTGATATTCTTCAAATTAAAAAATTATATGTATGACTTTAACGCTCTTTATTCTATTGCATACTGTAGAATTTAAAACTTTTGCCTTTTCTTGATGATCCTACTCTTCTCCTTCATGTTACTTCGCTAGTCTTATCAAGGATTGATTATTGTAACTCGTTCTACTATGGTCTTCCTGATTCTATACTCTATCTTTTAAGTGAAGCTTTTAACTCTGCTGCTCGTCTAGTTGCTCGTGCCTCTTTCATATCTCATATACAGTGGCGGATTAACGCACAGGCACCGGCCTGGGGCGGCAAATTTTGGGGGGTGGCAAATTTTCAAAAATTATTATTTAAAAATATTCAAGTTGAATAAAAATAATTATTGAAATTGATACTTTAAAAGGATTTAAACCAGAAACTCGTGCTGAGGATAGAGGAATTATTTCTAATTTGAGTTTTCTTGAAACCGGAATTATGGTAGAATTGTGGGGTTTTGTTTTAAAATGTCTGAACAAGTCTAACGTCAAACTTCAAAAAGTAGACATTGATCTATCGACTGTAATCGAAATTTACGACTCACTTTTAACGTTGTTTGAATCACTCAGAGAAAGATTTGAGGATTATGAAAAAAAAGGAAAAGTCCTGTCTTTAGTTGATGACTACAAGGTACCGCCATTAAGAAAACGGAAGCGGCATTACGACGAATCAGTTGACAATGGAACAGAATTTACCACTCGAGAAAATTTTCGTGTAATCATATTTTTGGTAATTGTGGATAACTTAAATTCTGAAATGAACAAGAAACGAAACGCTTATGTAGAAATTAATGAAAATTTCAAAGCAATTGTACAGTTCAAAACATTGTCAGTGGGTGAGCTAGAGATTGCAGCGGATGGATTAAGATCTTTATTTCCAAACGATCTAGACGATACCTTAAATACTGAACTGTTACATTTAAAGTTTCATTTGGCTACCTTAGACAAGAATGCAGTTCCACACACTCCAATTGATTTGTGTAAATGGATAAGATTGAATGACTTGCAGTGTGTATATCCAAATGTAGACATTGCACTTCGGATGTACACTTGTACTCCTGCTACAAACTGTTCGGCCGAGCGATCTTTTTCTTGTTTAAAGCGCATTAAAAACTATTTGCGTTCGACAATGTCCGAAGAAAGGTTAAATTATCTTGCAATTCTATGCATCGTAAAAACAATTTTGCAAGATTTAGACATTAATTTCGTTATTGATGAATTTTGAAATAACTTTTATAAACTGCAATGAAAGAAGATTTATTTTTTAAAATTGATAACATTTCATTACATGAATATTATTAAAGAATGTACTTAATAAAAATGTTTTAAAAATATTGCGTTTATATTGCAAAAGTGGCAATCATTATATTTGTCGACGGTCGTAAATTTTTATGTATATTAAGAAATATCACCGCATTTTCCGCATTGTTAAGTTTGTATAAACTTTTTCTATATATATATATATATATATATATATATTTTGAAAAACTATCAATTAGCGCCATATAAATATTTGTGTGTATATATATACATATATATATATAACGTTCATCAAAAAACTTTAGTGAGAAAAAACGAACTACAAACATATTAACGCCAAACATTCGGTAGAATTTATAGAATATTGTAAAAATTATGATCTATTACCAACACACACACACACACACACACACACACACACACACACACACACACACACACACACACACACACACACACACACATATATATATATATATATATATATATATATATATATCTATATGTGTGTGTGTGTGTGTGTTTGTACAAATTTCATTAATTTATTATATTTATTTTCAATATTTCAAAGTTTACGAATATATTTTATGATGTATGATTATAGCCAATCATTATTGTATGCCAAGTTGACATCTTTCAGAAAGTTTTATTTTAACTTTTTTAGGAATCGATTTGAAATTTTGTTTTCGGGATTTTTCATTTTATGCCTCAAAGATATCTTTCACAACAGATTTTCAGGAATTTTTAAAGACTCACAGCCCTTAAAGAATTTCAGATATCTAGACACTGAAATATTTTTTACAATTTCAGACTTATGGATATATTACAGAGATGTTTTATTATTAGACCATTTACTTATTTTTAGATCATGTGGTTGACCACATTTTATGTTTATGTTAAGTTAATAAAATATCACGATTTTAACATTATTGGTAAAAAAAGATTAAAGAAAACATCGATCAAGTCATATTTCAGTTGCTTTACTGTAATAAGAAATTGTTTGTTGCGTAAACTTTTACATTATAATTTTGACACTTAATATAATATTGAAATAATAATAAAAACTGCTGTTGCCATTTACAATTCCTTTACACATGATCGAAGTGCAGCTGATTTCCTGTTCAACATTCGAGACTCGAAAAAATGCCATCCCAAAATGCTGCTCTCAATGATTTAATTGTTTGTTCATTTGAGCTTACTTTGACTTTCATTGCATTCTCTCAAACATTTTTTGAGCTCTCTATTTTCCGCTTGGAGTTTTGTGATATAATCAAATGTTTTTGATAAAATGGCTCCTTTATTAAAATTTTTTTTGTCAGTTGGACAGTCAGGTAAAATTTTGGCAATCTGAAATATCCATCTATTTAAGGTTTCTCTTCTGCGTCGTTCAACTTCTTTGTGAGCCAATTTCTTATCACAACTAATCGGTTTGGTTTCAGAGATAGGTTTGGTTTTAGACTTTGATTGCGCCGCTATATTTTGCGGAATTTTTGACTCTTTAATTGATAATGATAGATCAACCATTGAATGCGAGAAACCATTTAGTACGTTTTCTGCATTTGAAGTTGTATCCATCATTGGTTGCATCTCAGACGAGAACCCTGATGATTCAATTTTTCCAAATGATAAAAACTCATCAGTTACCTCAGCCTGCATTAGTTCATCCATTGCCTGGTTGTATGAGTCCATTGCCTGATCGTAGGGGCAACTGAACATCTGTGATTCAGTTGTGACAACTCTGTACTTAATTGAATCGCCAAGTTTATTTGGCTGAAATGATGGATAAATCGAGTTTGGAACAATTAAATCATCAAGAAGGTTAAGGTTAAACCGAAACACACCCTCGCCATCTTCAAAATCATCTTCTTGCATATTGTAGGCAAAACTCATTTTCAACAAAGAAGTTAATTTAATTATTTGGTTGAATAAAACAAACAATTGTTTCTGCTGCTTTTATAATGATTTTTTAACAAAATTTTTTGTTATTTTCAGGGATTTTTAAATTTATCACTTGTTACAAACTTATAAACAAAATTTAGGTGCTAAAAATTGTAAATAATTTGTTAAATTAGTTTATTGAGCCTTTTTACAACTTTAAGTTTAAGCTTTACGTACCCTTTATCAACGATCGGTGATAGAAACATAGACTTCTTGATAATAATATATTAGTATATTTTAATATATTTTTGCAATATTGTAAAAATTCTTCCGAATGTTTGGCGTAAAATTGGTACGTTTAATCCAAAATTAACGCCAAACATTCGGTAGAATTTATACAATATTGTAAAAATTATGGTCTATTACCAACATTTAATATATTTAAGAATCTATGCAATAAAGTACACTACACAAATCAATAGATTGTGAATTCGACATCGTGAGCCAGTTTGTTCAAAAAAATTTTGAATACATTTTCAAATAAGCTTCGATTTAATTAAAAAATTCAGAGCCTTGTCTAAGAAATTTTCACTAGGTGACAAAGTTTTAAAAGTTTTGGAAATGATAATTATAGTATCAATTCTTTTCAAATCACGGAAGCCTAATAGATATTACATCAACTTTCTAATGAAAATGAAGTTTTTTTCATGGAAGAATACAATTCTTCAATCTTGCGGTAAAAACATAGATTACAAGCCTAAGGAATAAGCTTATTTGAACCAGGAATGAGCTAATGACAAAACGTCTAATTTAAATTGTCAATAAAAAATTGTTCATGATTTTGTTTATGTTTATGTAAATGTTGATGCGTTAAAAATGCACATGCACTAACTCTTTTGTCAATTTGAAATAAGTGACTTTTTTTTATTAACGACTCAGTATCACAAAAAAAACAATTGATGTTAAATTAGCTAATCACAAGTTATTTTCAGTGTTAAAAAACTTAAAGTTCATCATATGTTAGAGTCGATCGTCTCGTTTTTGAAGAAAGAAAATCAGCCACCACTGGCCGAGGATCAAAATTTGCGGTACCTATAGCATTTAAAGCAATGCATAATCGGTCATTCACAGTATTTCTCGACATAGATGATCGAAGGTCGCTTTTTAATTCTGTATGGCATGAAATTACCCGTTCCGTGATCATGCTGTGAGGGCAAGTTATAAGAAATGTTTGAACCAGCTTGTTTAAAAGAGACGACGGTGTTGTTTTTTTGTAGCAATAAGTACAACTTGGCAGTATTGCTTTCATGCGGCTTAAAAGATGAAGCAATAAATGATTAATAGTAACCAACAGCATCATCTACAAATTCTGAAACATAATTATCACCAAAAATATCTGATACAATTTGCCGACCGGCTTTGATCATTGTTTCAGCATTTTCAGCATTGGCAACATCTACCATTGCCTTTACTTGTAAATCCTGATCGACATCCAACCTTCTCTCAAGGAAGTTCTTTGCACATGTGATTACCTCAAGACGCACTGTTTCAAAATTTCATGGAATGACGCTGAAGTACGTGGTCGCGTTTTTGCATCAAATCAGCCAAGGTAACAAACGTGCGTTGAGCTTCTTTTTGTAAATCAGTGAACTGTCGCAAGATATCCAAAGCAACAGCACTCATGTTTAAGTTGAATGAAGTTTGGGACCAATCCTTCAGAAAACCTCTTGCTCTTTGCTTTTCATTATTTTTTTCATTATTTTCACCTTGTTGTACAACTGTCTTCCTGTGAGCGCACATCACCTGATGATTAGACAGAACTGCAAGTACAACATTGGCAAGGTGCTCCTCAAAACGAACTTCATGATGCCGTGGAAAATGTTCAGCAGTCTCACCCAAATTTGCAGCAATTTCATGCAGGTTTTCTTGTCGGTAGCTTGATCCACGAAAATAAGTAGCGAAATTTTTTACATCTGTTAACCAATGACGAAACTTCGGAACCACGTTTTCAACGCTTTCAAAAGCCAGGTCAGATCTGTGAGCTATACACCAAAATGTCAACATGTTGTGCCCTAAATACTCAAACATCTTTACCCACAACCCCCCGTGACGTCCAGTATTTGAATTTTCCTCATCTGTCGTAAGACCCACCATCTTTGCTTTAATGACATCTTCAATTTCAAGATACTGGAAACGTTTCCGCAAAGCATCGACCATCCCAATTACTCCTCTTAACTCACTGTGGCATTCGCCCAGAAAACTAGCTTTCATCTCAAAATTAGTGTTGTCCATGTATCTGGTAGTAACAAACAGACCGTCAGCATTGTATTTATCAACAGATTTGTCAATTTTTAGGGCGACACAGTCTGCGATTTTCAATGCTTGAATAACTCTGCTCAATTCATGCTTGGACACAAATGATAATATCTCTCTGTACCGGTCAGGATTTCTGTAATGCAATGCTGACTGGGGTGGATTAAACGCCACAAAGTCACAATCAAAACCGTGATCAATGTATTGCTTAACTTGGTTTTCTGCATGCATTTGTGCTAGTGAACGACTTGGCCAAGACCAAGCTGACAGCGTTTTTGTTACTGAATCATTGTGTACATCAACTGTAAGGCGAATAAGAGTTGATATCAGTTCAATATTGTGTTGTTTCAAAATTTTTACCCATGTCCATTGCTTTCGTGCAAGATCGGCCCGTTGTGCAGCACTATGAGCACCACCTTTCAAGTGATCAATAATTCTTCGAAGCTGTTGCATGCCGTCACACCGAACACCATCAGCTATTGGGACAGTACCATTTCGAGCATACTTTTTAGCTTCAGAAATGTTATCGTAGCACAGTTTGCATTTTAGACCTTTACGAGAACCCAGTTTTATTGCTTTCAGTTCTGAATGGTGTTTCTGCAACCAAGCAGCATCAAGTTTGAAGCCTTTGTACATCTCCATATCTTGTTCTCTTGCACTGACTACCTATAAAATATAGAATAATTTTTAAAACTTGCACATCTATGTATAAGTCTCAATCTAAATTATTTCCTAAGTACTTATCAGATAAATTAATTGAACCAGTTTACGATCGTCTTCTTGTCCTCGTTTCTTCTTAACTCGTGTTATACACTCTTTTGTAAAATCTGCTTTTGCTTTTTCTGGTCCTTTTCTCTGAAACTCTCTACCTACTTCTCTGACTACTTCTCCACCACTTACGAATTTCAGAGCGGATCTCAATCAATCAATCAATTAGCTTGTAAAACGCTATTTCCGCGATGTTCAACAGCGCTCCTCAATGAATTTTGAAAACAGATGGGTCTTGAGATCCGCTCAAATCTTTGGAGATGATCTGATCAAAAGGTAACGATGTATGTGTGACTTGAGAAACACATTCTGCCTGTACAGGTACTTTTGATTTTGCTGCTGAGATATTATTTGTTACTGATGTAGAGTGATCAGGTAAAGTGGTGTCATAAAAGATATCCTCAGGGTCACATTGTTCATTCTGATTAGGGACTGTTGTTGCTATAGAATGGTTAAAAAAACTGTCTATTTTTCTTTGTTTTTTAGGATAATGAGAGCTTGATCTTGCTATATCATTCTGTGCAGTAGTTGCTGACATTTTTAACGTAAACCTTCCTGCAAAAAATAATTTAACGAAACATTTAATTAATTAAAAACTGTCTATTTTAAAATCATAAATATTAAAACAACATTTGAATATTTAAAGTTTCGTTTTCAAGAAGCGGTATTTTATCTATAAAAATTATTCACTAACTTACAAATGTTAAAATTTTTAACTTTAATCTAGTTGTTTATTTATCAAATTGATTGATCTAAGAAATTGGTCTTTTAAAAATTAAAAAATAACTTTATAATTTTTTAATAAAATATTAACGATAATATTATAATCAATAAACCATAAAATAAAACTAGTTGGAAAATTTTGAGAAAAAAATTTTTTTTTTGTAATCAGTTTAGCTAAATTTAAAGTTGAAATCACAATCAAAACAAATAAATCTAAGCTACTGCAAAGAATTGAAAAAATTTAAAAATATGTAATATAATTTTAATAATTGTATTATGTTAATTTATTCTTTTATTTTTTTGAATTCATTCAATCCATGATTTAAACAATTCAAATTTTGTGGAATTAAAACAAAACCCAAAAATTTTAAACTTCTACTAATTAGGAATAATTAAATAGTTTAAAATATCAATATCTAAATGGCATTACTATACAGAAATAATATTAAATATTTAAAAAAGTCTATAATCTATTTAAAGATATTTATCACATTAAAAAAAAACACAAATTTTTTACAGAAATTGATTAACAATAAATTAAATATTATACACAATAGGCTTTCAGTAATCAAGTTAGTTAAATTTTAAATTAAAATATATGTATTTCTGAATACAAGAAACTAAATAAATAAAATAAAAATAAATACATTCAATCCTGGATTTAATTAAACAAATTCAATTATGTGAAACTTAATACAAAACCCAAAAATTCTAAATTTATACTACCTACAAAAACAAATAAATATATACCACAATAATATATAATAAATTATCTGTAATTCAAAGATATTAACCTGCGCTTTTGAATTAAATATGCCTTGAAATTTAATCAAATCAATCCAGCTTAAGCTTAAAAATAAAGTATATTCTAAAAATCAAAGTCTAATAAAAACATAATATGATAATAGCATAAACTAGCCATCAATTTGCCTTGCAATTTTTTTAAATATTGAATCAAAGATTCAATAAAACAATTTCAAAATTGTTAAATCACTTAAATCCAAAAAAAAAACAAATTCTATACCACTACTACCTTATAACTAAACGTTTAACCGTATTATCTATATACATTTCAAATTATAAATTTATGTGCCTTTGAATTTTGAACCGTTTTTTACGTTTGGTTTCGTTTACGTTACGCGTACGTGTGATTAATCATTAGTGACGTTACCCGGCGAAATTATGAGAAATACTTTCAAATTTGTAAAAAATGCTATCAAAATATTATTTATTTAACAAAATATTTATTTAACAAAAGAAAAAAGACTTCGGTAATCTCGGAGACGACAAAGTGGTTTTTCCAGAAATATTTATTTATAGTCAACAGTTTAAAGAGACTCATAAGCTCCACCCACGGTGCAACTAATAAACTAAATACAGCCTGCATGTTCGCTGGTTAGCGACAGTATAATGTAAACAGCCGAAATACTAGAAAAAGGAAAACTGTTTTTTGAGTAATTATTTTTAAAATGTTATTGAATTTAAAAAAAATAAATAAAATGTAAAACGCTTGACAATGCAATCTACCCTTAAACGATTTTGAATCAAAATATAACTAAAATTTTATGCTTTGTACCATATAATTAGAATAAATATAACGGCCTTCGCTCATTTTTGACGGTCGAACAAGGAGCTTACTTTCGGAGAAAAACTGGAGGGTGATTTTTTATCACCCAAGTCAAAAGTTACGATCGTATATTTACTAATTTCGGAATATTGCTTTTATTTAAAATTTCAAAATGTTTTAAAAGGTGATACTAGATGCTGTTTTGGGATAGATATTGCTGTATGACGATTAAGTATCTTTTTGCATTTTAAATAAAAAAAATTTTTTTTGAACCACCAACAACACAACACTAAACGATGACTAATTAGTAATTGAATTACTAAACTCTAAAAATTAAACTAAAACTAATTTCTACTGATTCTAATTACTAATTGAAATAAATAACAGATAACACTAACGAACATTAACAGATTAGACTACTAGAAACTACCAACCACTACACTAATACATACTACTACTACACTAACGACTAACAGCACTTGTTCCTAAGATCCTAAATTCTATTGCTTGATTGGTTTTAAAATTTTTATTTACAATGCTTAGGTCTGGGAATAAAAAATATACTAAAATAAATATATTAAACAACTTACCAATCAATTTTATAAAATAAACAATTTTGTAATTTGTTCAATTCAAGCTTTAAACTCCCCAAGCTAACTAGCAATTTAATTAAAATTTATTAATTATGAGTGATTCAAACTAAATTTTTTTTCATTTAATGTTTTACAAAATATTCCTCATTCTTAAATTGTAGTATATGTTGTTATTAAATTTATTAAAGATAATGTGTGATTCCAGTGATTCATCAATCCATGACTTGTTAGATCATGATCATTCAGTTTTAAAGAATCCCCATCACCATAACCAATGAGGTTTGTAAAAATTGTACTTTTAATTTATTATATTTTATGCACTTAGAATGTTGTGTTATTAATTATTATCATTAATTTATTAAATGCTGTGCATACCTATGGCAAGTAAATAAAATAATTAAGCATAGAAATAGCCACAATCAAATTAATTTATATAGGCATGAGTATAATTTGGATAATAATAATTAAAAATATCGGTATCATTGAAAATGGATAAAGTCATAAATAAAAAAATAAATCATAAATTGCTAAAAATAATAGTTCCAGTAATGTTTTGCCTTACACCTACATCTTTTTTTCATTCTTATATTATAATAAATGTTTGTTATCAAATATATCAAGGATTGATTTCTCAATCCATGACTAGATTGAATGTGATGATCCTACAGTTCCAGAGGATCCCCATCACCATTAGTCAATAAGGTTTGTAGAAATCACCCCAGGCATACCATCAATGTTTTGTAGTCACCTTTTAATGTAGTGTTAATAAAATGACATTGAGAATAGTTATTTAAAACAATTTTATTAAAATTATTGAACAGGTATGACAAGATTACTTTCTTAATGTCCTAGTGTGAGGAAGATGTAAGCCATTTGTCCAAAGATAATCATATGCCTTATGCCCATACAAATGCAGTGTCAACTCGAATGATTTTTGATCAGAGTCATATGTTCTAATTTTTTTAAACTTTTCCAGAAATTTTTCTGTTAATTTATTTGTTACATTAAATACTTGATGTGTATTTCATATAAAAACTTGATTATGCCAATTTAGTTAACTTGTTAAGCATTAATATAAAATTGACTCTACTTGTAATGGTGATTGGTATGATGATGATGATCCCAGTCCTAAACAGGGTTTATTATTCACAATGTCATTATGCCCTTTCTAAGTTTTAATAAAATACATGGAATATTG